AGAAGACAGTCTGCAGAAAGATAAACAAGTGGGCAGGTGGTGATTTTTTAATGAGAAAACCTAAGAAAATTGATGAATTAGTAGAATTACTACAGAATTAATAAGAACTTAAAAGTTCACTGGACATACAAAGTTAATATACAAAAAGTGTGCTGCATTTATACATACCAATAACGAGAAGAAAATATAATTTTTAAAGGATACAGTTTACAAGTATATTCCTGGTCTTTGGTCAGCGGGCTTCAACAAGGCAAAGACTGTTCAAGTAAGGTACTTCTGTTTGTTTTACTGTTTTTTTTTTTTATAAGTACCATCTGTTTCACGGAAAAAGATATAATAATAAAAGAAAAGATCTCATTACAAAAGACAAAAGTTCTCAGCATAGTAAGAAATGAAAAGTTTATGTGAAAAATAAACAAATACAAATAGCCAAGAAAACTCTGAAACAGAAGGATGAGGATATGTTAATCTTACCAGATACTAAAAGATAATAAAAATGGTATAGCACGGATGCATTAATAGAATGACCAATGGAAAAGAAAAGAAACCCTAGAATAAGCCCAAACACCATGCACCTAAGGAAAGTGAGCACATGATTTTAGTGGCACCTCCAATCAATGGGGAAAAGAGCTGCAATGGTTAATTTTATGTGTGACCGTAGAAGGCGTGTTTTTGGATAAAATTAACAATTTAAATCGGACAGTATGAGTTAAAGTAGATTGACCTACATAACATGGGTGGGCCTCATCCAATTATTCTGAAGCACTAAATAAATAAATAATAATAAATAATAAAATAATAAATAATAAAAAGACCAGCCTTCCTTAAGCAAAAGGGGATTCTCCAGCCAACTGCCTTCGGACTCCGTCTGTACCCTCGGCTCTCCTGCATCTCCAGCCTGCTGTCCCACACTGCAGATTTTGGACTCGCCCACCTCCCTAAGTGTGTAAGCCAATTCCTTATAATAAATCTCTTTCTTTGTATATATACACATTCTATTGACACTATTTCTCTGGAGAACCCTGACTAATATAATACAACCCTGATTAATGTAATAGCCTGCACAAGAAAATTCTAGGAACAACCAAGTTCTAGGAAAAAATAATTAGGCTGAACCATCTCTCTCTTCGTAGACTACAATAAATGAAATGTAAAAACAAATATATTAAAATACTACAAACTAACATGAGAGAGTTCCTTTACAACTGTGGAGTATAAAAGGTCTTTCAAACCCCCAATAAAAATAAAATGCAGAAGTCATAAGAACAGATTAATAATTCTGACTACATAAAAATTGAAAAAAAAAAAAAAAGAAAATGCTTTTGCATGACAAAAAAAACCTTCCATTACTAATGTCAAAAGATAAATGCTAAGGGGGAAGTTAGAAACTCATATCATTGACAAAGGCCTAGTCTCCCTAACATAAAAGAGTGAGCTTTTTAAATCAATTTTTAAAGACCAAAAACTGAATAGAAAAAATTCAAGATTAAAAGATATTATAGTCCAGGAAAAAAATATAAATGCTTTTAAATATGTAAGATGACACTCAACATTACTCATAATAAGATATATGTAAACTAAAACCTATTACAGGTTGAATATTCCTTATCAGAAATACTTGGGACCAGAAGTGTTTCAGATTTTGGAATATTTGCACATGCATAATGAGATATCTTAGAGATGGGACCCAACTCTAAAGATGAAATTCATTTGTTTCTCATATATATATATATATATATATATGCATAGCCTTACACGTATAGCTTGAATGTAATTTTATACAAAATTTTAAATAATTTTGTGAATGAAACAATGTTTCAAGTGTGTTTTCACTGTGACCTGTCACGTGAGGTCAGGTGTGGAATTTTCTGCTTGTGGTATCAGGTTGGCGCTCAAAAAGTTTCAGATTTTGGAGTATTTCAGATTTCAGATTTTCAGAGTAAGGTTGCTCAACCTGTATCAGATTGGTAAAAATCCAGAAGCCTTGTAAAACCAGCACATGTGTAGGGAACAGGTCCTCTCACACATAGATGGTGGGAGTGTAAATTGGTACAACCTCTAGGGGAACAATCTGGCAACATCTACTAGAACTACAAATGCACACACCCTTTGTCCGAGCAGCATCACTTCTAGGAATTTATTCTGCAGGTATTATTGCCCACTTAGGAAACGACACATATACAAAGTTTATTACGGCAGCATTGTTTTAATTGCAAATAACTAGAAATAATCTAAATGTCCATCAAAGAGAAAAGTTAAATATATTATGGTATGTCTATAAAATGGAATGAAGCTATAAAAAGAAAGCGGGCTAGCTCTATGTACTCCTTTGAAATGATCTCCAGAAAATATATTTAAGTGGGTAGAGAAGGGGGTGGATTAAAAACAGAAGCATGCGTATAGTATATTATACTACATATACCATCATTTATGTAAAAATTAAAATGTGATACTGTGCTTTTTCATATAAAGAAACTCCAGAAAAACATACAATAAACTAATAAAGTGGTTATCTGGCAAAGGGTGGGGTGGTGAAGTGGGCAGGGGGAATTAAGATGGGAAGGAGACTTTTCTCTGTATCCTTTCCTTATACCTTAAAATTTTTGAAATCTGTACACATATCGACTGGTCAAAACATTAAATATGTTAGAAATGTTAAAGACATAAAGTGATATGTCTTAAAGGAACCTTAAAATTACCTTTTGTATCAATCACATTAACAAAAAACACAAAGTATTGTTTGCTGGCTGATTGCCTTATATAAAAGCAATTGATGATACATATGCCACATTTGGAAACAAAAGTCTAAGTCTGCAGAAAGGAATGTTCTGATTGTTATGAACTACTGGCTGATTAAATATGGTTGAACTTCTTAGGGTTTTAAATGTATATAAATTCAGTATTACAAATTTTATTAAAATTTGGCTTGATTTTAATAATATTCCATTGATAAATTTTACTTTGTTTTAGGACAGCTATCGGGGGATTATCTTGGTTTGTAGGTGCTAAATATATCTACAATGCTAGATCTCATTTCTTCGGGAAACTTTCTGAATCTATCTAGCCATCTAACTCCCTAAAAACAAGGACTGTTACTGTCAAACCGGACCATCTGATTAGGCTGCCTAATCTTTGACTTCCACCTCCTGGTCCCACAACAGTTTAACAAAACTTAAAAAATACTCAGGTATTTTATATTAATAGCTATCAAGTATGAAAACAAAAAAAACTTCCAACATACTTTGAGGAATGCTTGGTTTTACTCAGAATATACAAAGTGACATGTACATTAAAGAATCATAGTTATATATTATTTCTTTCCATACAACTAACTGTATTCAAATCAATAAAACAGTGATAGTATTAATCAAAGCATAAGATAGCCCTAAACTAAGCACATTACAATAGTATTCGTTCACAGTAAGATTTTACCTGTAGCATGCTTTAAATATTTAAATGTAAAAGATATTAAATAACTAATTGCCACGTGTTAGAAGTCATCGGTGAATGCATCATAAAGGAAGTAAATTTTGAGCTTGGTCTTGAAGGAAATGACAGGCACTCAGAATCCTTAATCAAATTGGTTTTACAATCAGAAATTCATTTCAGTGCACTGAAGTAAAATGAGTAATGTAATCTCTCTATTGAGTCCTTAAATTTTGATGACATGACAAAACATTCTATGTCTACAGGTAAGTTCAATAAGGCTCTGAAAGCCCCTTGGAAAAACCTATAACTTTATCAAAAATCCAGATACCAGTCTCTCTCATATAAAAAGAACTGATATTAAAGTGTTTTAAAATTTTCACACATTTTAATAAAAGACTTCACCTGATAACTCTGAAATAATGTATATCCCTACTTCTACAAACCCCAGATATGTTGCCACAGCTTTGAACACATATATGCAAAAACCAAGATTGTACTAGATCTTGTATCTCAGCAGCTGTTTTAATATGTTTTGTTTAAAGTAATCAACTCTCTTTAGAACTCTGTAATAGAAGTCATGTGGGAACAGACTCCAACAAACCCAAGAAAACACTTCAGAAATCAGCCAGATCAATAAAATTAAGCTCCATATATTTACTCTGCTTAGTATCAGCAATCTTTTCAAGCCACATAAGAAGCTCTTTAAAAATGAAAAAGTCTATGCCACATGCATTCATCCTTTCTTTACCACCCCCACCTCATCAAAGAAAAAGATGAGAAGAAAATATTAAAATGGAAAGTTGCATTTTGATGCTCACGACTAGAAGTGCTGTAAAAGTTTTATCAGGACTCAGGGCTCCTTTTCATGTCACTAATGAGCGACAGTCTCTAAAACAAAATGAAACTGAATCATTTTACCACATATGTATGTACTATTTTTCTACAAATCATGTAATCTGTAATATATAGTCCAACAACCTACAAGAGTACTTAACGAGGCTAATTTAAATGAGAAACTGCTTAATATATTTAAAGTATATGATTCCCATTAGTATTTCAATATTGCAATTGAAGTGATTTTCTGTTTATGAGCTCATTTAAGAAAAACACTGTCAAAGGCAACGATGTTTTGATGCAGTAGCACTTACCATTAAAACAAAAACAAAAAAAGGTCAAGATAAAAATACCATGCATGTGCTAACTAGCAGGATTAAATGATCGATAAAACCCTTCTCTTGAATAAGCCTTGACAAAGCGGCAGAGTACTTTCTTGAAAGATTCAGAACACAAACGACAAGAACAAGGAATGACTGACACTTTCTGCTGTCACTAACCAGTAATGCAAGCAACTATTAAACTAGTCATTCTTTCCACCCTTCAATCCCAAAACATGAAGGAAGGAAGGAAGGGAGGGAGGGAATTAGATTAGGTTTACAGTTTTGCATTTTCTCAAAACTACATTTTCTTCCACTGAGAACATAATTTTTAAAACAAGACAGGAAGATGTTTCGGAGCCCGATCTGTTTTTTGGAGAAGAAAACAGAGCCCTGGGAGCAGTGTGCTGTGCTCACCTGCTGTGGCTGGTACCTCTGCTGGGACTGGGACGGCAGATACTGCGCCTGGGGCGGGAGGTGCGGGGGCTGTGGCTGCTGGCTGTAATATGGCTGTTGGCCCTGTTGGCAGTAACCACTCACACCTTGCTGTCCATACTGAGGTGGCATCTGTCAAAAAATCAAGCAAAGCAAATGAGAAAGTCAAAATGTGCAATTAAATGAAATCAAATATGGTTTCAATTCAGGAACATGAAGGGGGTTCTCTGCTAAGCAACTGCATTCAATATTTTTAATCCTCTGTTCATTAGACAAATCGACATGCTGCCTTCTATTCACATACTATCAATGAAGTCAAAGATAATTTGAATTTGCCTTTAAAAACAATCATATCTTATCATATATTAACTATTGATAACATCATAAAAATTTAGTGGGGGGAAAAAAGCTCCTAATAACTGACATTGAAAAATAAAAACAGACTCTGCTAAGAAAGTCAAAGAAGCATTATGTTAAATCCATTCCCATACAACAGTGAAAATTAAAATGAACTCAAACAGTCCAAGTTAACTCACTAATATTTTGTAGGATGCTTGTAGTTTGGGTGCATTATAGGGTACATGTTTGTTTGTAAGTTCAGAATAACAAAATTTAGAACATTCCAACTGCATTTATAGCAGATATATGCCAGTTATATTAATAATTTCATTTACCATTTTTTCTTAGTTGATAAAACAGGTAGCAATGTAAAGCAAATTGTACTACACTGTAAATGACAGAGATGTAGAGAAAAACGGCCTAACTCAGTCTTCTCCATTTGTAATTTACATGAGCCTAAAAATCCTTGAAAGCATTATTCAGGGGAAAATCCTTTCTCATGCAATAAATGCACCATTGACAGTATTTTTTGTTTTTTCTTTTTTTTACATGAGAAATCTATTGGCTTTATTTTTTTCTAATTGCAAGAAAGAGCAGGAAAGGAAAAGAAAAACAAGATATCAGGACAGCAAAAAACACCCCCAAGAAGAATGGTGAAGTCATTCTGTTTAATACCACAATATGGTCCACTTGAGAACTCCGAGAACCTGAGCCCCATAAGCCCACACGCTCAGGAAAGTAATGACAGCACCAGATACACACTTAAGCCCAAATTCACTACAGAAATACTGACCCAGGAAAAAGAAGGAACCGTGAAAGAGGAAAATATTAAACCATTTAGCCTCTAAGACAAATTAGCGCACTAATTCATAACACATACAATGGGGTAAAAGAAAAAAAAAATGAGAAAGCTAAAGTTCCTATTCCTTTCAATTCGATCCAGATTATTTTTAAGACCTATCAGCAATGATCAGAATAAATGTGACCACAATGATTCACAATGCCTTTTAGCACACTGAGCCTAAGTTGTTGGAGCAGACAAGTTTGCACTGAAAAGCATTTAACAGCACAGTTGAATTCTTTGCTTTTATTTATTTTACAGCTTGATATCTCATATAATGAATGTATGTCCCTGCCATAAGCCAAGCCAACGAATTTCCATAAAATACAACTCCACATGCTAGAATACCATATACTACAACACACATCCTCCCGTTCAACACCCATATGTTTGATATGATATCTAATACTATATTTCACACAAGTGTCTTTGCAGTTTGATTTGAAGCAGTTAGGATAACACTTCTGCCAGTGTTAAAATGACTGTAAAGCTCAGTCAACACAGCCAGCAACTCCCCTATGAATTGCGCTTTAATATGTTGACTTTCTGGTTTACAGAAATCCTTACACACAATATGGAAGTGTCATGTGGGGAAGGGGGCTCTGTTTTCCAAGCAAGACAACAGGACAAATTCTGGAACCTAACAATATAGCAGCCACAAACTTACTAGGATCTTTTACTATCTATTCCAAGTCCGGGAAGTTTGAGGGTAGGTCATGGGGCAAGGAGAGGATAGGTAGAAACATAAGCGAATCTTCAGTGGAGCTCTAGTGATGGTCTGCGGAAAGAGGGGACCTGCAGAGGGGAAGCAAAGCCATCAAAAACACCTGCTTGGGAGTTTTTATTAGTGTCTTCCATAATCAGAAACCGATTTGCTATCCTTTTTAGATACATGGTCTCATTCATTCATTTGGGACCAAATTCACCAGCACCTCACCCTCTGTGAGCCTTACAGGGAGGAAACCTGTAACAGCACAATCGGGCTATCCGTTAGACCTAAGGCCCAGTGCAAATCAACTGCATCTGGCCTTAAATGCGAACCACGACAGAACAGATTCCTAAACTCTAGTTTAGTTAAAGAATCTTTGACCCATAAATGTATGGAATCTAAATCAAATTCCTATTGCACCTTAGCTGTGTGAATATGGTCAACTTCTTAACTATGTTTGTCTTAACATCTGCAACTGTAAAATGGGGCTATTTTCTCTAGTAATTCATATTGATACTATACTCAGAAAAGCAATAATCCCACCTGAAGTCTATACAGATATTATTATTACTTATTAAACTAACGGTTGGAATGCTATCTCTAAAATATTAATTATTTCCTGAGTGTTAACTTTAAGAACCAATTTCTCAATATAATACCCTAACTGCCTGGAACTAAAGTCTAATTCTTCTGTGGTCATTATTGTTCTTGTTTTATAGTCCATTTAGGTGTATGGCTTTCAAAGATCTACTATACGCTTTTCAGACTTCTTAAAGCAATCAGTATTACGAAACATAAATTGACAGGTTGAACCACAATACACGAAGGCCCCACAGCCTTCTGCCAGAAGCTCCAGGCTGTAACTCTTGAGTTCCTGTTTCTGCCGGTTGGCCCTCTGCTCACAGGCCATCCAGGCACTCAGACACTGCTCATCACTGCAAGCTCAGTCCGCTACCCGAACCTGCCGTATGCGTTGTTAAAATGAGGAAGGCCCAGAGGACCATTCCAGGAGGCCAGCACATGAGCTTTATTGTCTCAAGCTTTGTGAAACCCGTTTGGGCTGCTGAGAGCTTTTTTGTTGATCTCTTAGCTCTAAATCACATTCAGGATAACTAAGATCACCTGTTGTAAGCAAGTGAAATTTCACCAACAGTTCCTGAGTGCCAGGGGGCAGGTGCTGAAAGTTGGGGATACAAAGCTCTTGTGACTCAGGCAGCACCCCTTCCCTGACCAGCCCAACTAACTGGGCACAGCCCTGAACACCAGTCTTCTCACGCCATTACCCACTTCATTTACCACCGTGGAGATTATCTGTCTTGGTTATTTAGTTAACAACTTAATTGGGTGTTCATGTGTTTATTGTCTATCCTTATCACTAGAATATAAACTCCCAAACTCATGGTACGCCTCCTGGAAAAGGATCTGACTGTCCACAAATATTTGCTGAATGAGTGAATGAATGCTGTTCAATGGATTATTAAAGCAAGTTTTTCTCATATAAAAACTAATCAAGGAACACATTATAATATGGAAATCACTTGTACCATCCAAATCTGATACACGTGTTCAGCTTCATTCACAGCCGAAAACACTGAAATTTATACCAACTATAGCATGGTGCTAAACTGCTAACCCTAGTAAGTCATTATTGCCCAACAAATGTTCTGTGCCTTTAGCACAGTTTAAATTTTAAAAAATAGCACTAATTGGAAAGCTCCAGAAAATGCTTAGGATCAGAATTGTTCTGTTTGTTATTTTAAAAATAAGAATTTAGTTCACTCATTTCTAAATAAGGAGGGCCTTTAAGTGGTGCATGAGAACACACACACAAAAAAATTATTTCAATTTTCAAAGAAAAGTGAATGCTTCCAAACATTATTGGAAAGAGAAAGTATAGCTAAAAATAATTCACTTACTTTAAGTATTTATTTTAGAACTACCCTAATCGAGGACACACTATTAACTTCTACGTCTCTGTATGGTGTTAATTGTGCAGGATCTGGACCCCACGTTCCATTTCACCATACACAACTTTTTGCCCATACTCCAAAATCAATGAAATGATCGAAGTTTACCTTCTTCCCCCTTCTTCTTTCTAAAGAAGTTCTGGAGGGCAGTTTCCCACTAAGACGCACTGACCCTGTGCCCCAGCAATGCACCTGGTCAGTATACACCCATGAAACACTCACACGTGTCCCAGGAAGGATATTCAATGCAGTCCTGTTTACAATTGTCAGGAAGAGGACACAATCTAACTCCAGAAAAGGAGGTAAATGAGGAAAATTAACTTTGTTATAGTCACACAATTAAATTCTATAAAGTTGTAAAAAGGAAGGAATAAGATCCACATATCAAAATGGTTCAAATCTAAAACATATGTTAAGTTTAAAAAGAAAGCAATAAAGATTAATGCAGTATCCTAACATTTGTATAAATTTTTAATACACAAAATAGTAGTATATATTGTTTATGAACACACATATAGTAAAAGTACAGAAATATGCCTTGTCTGAGCACGGTTATAGCTACGGGGAGACTAAGGTTGGAGGACAGCCGGAGCTCAGGAGTTTGAGGCTGCAGTGAGCTAAGCAACAAAGCAAGATTTTGTCTCAAAAATAAAACAAAACAAAAAAACATGCCTTGAAAAGGAAATATGCAACTCTCTGAGGTGGGGGCAGGGGGGGTGATGGGGCAGGGCTTCAGCCTTGTATCTGTTCCTTTTAAAACAGAGATGTTATGCAAATGAGGCAAAATATTAGCACCTACAAATCTGGTATTACACAAGTGTGTCTGTTATATTTGTTTCTGTACTTTTCCAAATGCTGAAATTTCATTTTTACCTTCTACAATGAAGCTATTGCCTCAACACAAGTCCCCATGCCCCAATGCACAAGGTAGGGACGCTCAGAGAGGTCCTTCCACTGCCACTTTACTTAAATAGGCCCCACTAAGACTCCGCTCAGGAGACCCCTCCCTGACTACAAGACCAGGTGCCCTAATCTCTTCCAGGCCTTTCGCCTGGGACAGGACTAGGACGGAGACTTCGTTATGGTCTTCTCCCAAGGGAAAGTGTCCTGCAGGTTGGTAAATCCCTGGCAGAAAGGACTTTATGCCAGCATTTCCCTATGGGTCCCACAGGGAATACTAATTCAGCAAGATATCTCATAGAAATAAGTTCTATAGTCAAAAAAGTTTGAGAAATAAACCTACTATAAAAATAAAACATACTATATGAACATATTA